TTTGTGTGTGTGTGTGTGTTTGTGTGTGTGAGTGAGTGTGTGTGTTTGTGTGTATGTATGTATATATATATATATATATATATATGCGTGTGCGTGTGTGTGTATGTGTGTATATGTGCATGTATATATATATATATATTGAAATCCCCGTGGACACCAATGATATATACCATACACGTGCCCGAGGGCTCACACCAGTGTTGGCACGACGTGTCGTTTATTTCCGATACTTTTGTTTAGCCATCTCGAAAGTGCTTTTTTTTTTGCTTTTTAAAGTTGTCACGCATTTCCGCCTAGTATAAATGAAGCTTGAATGATTCATGCAGCAAAAGGCTTCGTCACTTGTCCATCCTCCATCTCTATTCTATCCAATATATCTATACCATATCAATCTATCTATATCTTGTCCAACACGTCTAATACTATGGTGGTTTCTACTGCCCGCTATGTTCTTACGTTCTGTGTGAACTATTCCTAAAGCAACTCCCTCATATATTGCACCTTAAATCCCCTCGTCACCGCTCTTTCGGGTTTCTTCTCTTTGATTCAGTGTTTGGCCGTGTGCCCAAGTTTCTCTCGTTTGAACAGCAACCGTTTACGGAGGATACCTACATCGAAGAGGTCGCACCAAACACGCAGGAGGGCCGCGCACAGTAAGTGTCTTTCGTCGAGACGGAGATGGTACTATCATGAATTGCTGCTGATTATTTTACACTGCCTCGCGATGGTGGAATTTTGTTTGCAATGTGGGAATCACTGGCGGAGTGGAGTGTCCACATACACAAATATGTCTTTTACTTAAAGAGTTTTCAGTCATTCTTGTATACATACTCGATACACGACGCCTGGCAAGTCCATGGTAGGTGTACGGGCTTACACGTCTGTGTATAAGTAATCAACTTGATAACTCTTATGAACTAAGAGTCTCGCTTCAATTATTTCTGTGCTATTTTCAGATGTCGGTTATTCGTCAACAACACCGTGCGCTGGCGCCATGTGGTGGACAGGGATGGTAAGCAAGTCATAGACCCCACGACAGGCGATCCAAAGATGGAGAGCAATGCCAGATTTGTCAAGTATGTTGTAGCGTGGGGTAGTATGGTGACCTACTAGTGCGGTTTGACGTGGGACTGTGTTTCTGTGTGTATAAGCGACGGCAGGTGACAAACCCCCTGCACCTGTACTCTTGATGAGATGCATTGATTTATTTGTCATTGATGGTTTTTTTTCATCAAAACACGGCAAGACATACTGTACGCTGTCCACATGGACGATGGCGTGTCTTTTGCGCTCAAGTACGTACTCATCTCGCCCCATTCTGTGAACGACGGTGCCGGCAGATGGGATGATGGATCCTCATCGTTAGTTATTGGAGACGAGGTCATCGACGTGGCGGAGAAGTCTATTCACGAAGGCAACACACACATGTAAGCCATGTTTCAGTGTGATTACTATACCATGGCAGCAGCATGTATGTGTGAATTACACGTGATATTATACCGACTATTTATAAAGCCAAACACTCACATGATTGATATAAGAAAAAGGTCTGCTAGAACTATTATCTTTTGGATTGGCACTCCGAGATCGCAGACTCGTGGTTTATTCCGTATGAGATATTTTTGAATCGCGATGGTATAGCACAGATATAGGTTTTCCAGTTCGAGATAGTCGTATGAAATGTATGACCACAAAATTAACGTATACATATGTCAACCCCGCATGTAAATGTGATACTACACAGTCATGATGCAAATCCCGTTCGCATCTGGTAGTGGTAGTTAGATCACTTCTGCAGGAATCCTACAGTGTGTTCTGTAGGTCTTACTGCAAGCTCTGGAAGCTACGATAGGGGTCAAATATATGTCGCCATGGTACGGCACGCGCGAAACACAAAGTAGATGAACACGTGAGCGGCAGTTGAGGTGCAAAAGCAAAATGTGAAAACGGATGCATGCTGCCAATACCTGCTCAGTGATATTTAGTTTGATCTATCACATCGCGCCATATGTACTGTTTAGTGTATCTTCTCTCCTCATACTGCCATAAGGTTCAAGAGTATAAGACTAGCCTATCAGCGTGAGGCGTATACGAGTCTACTATTCACCCACATCCTTCTAACCAAATGTCCGATTGGTCGCGCACACACAGATTCATGCGATCAAAGCCGTCGCTATACGCCGAGACGGTAGTGACCCACAAGTACACCTTTGCCCCGGCATCGTCGAATTCGCTCACACATAAGATCATGAAAGATAAGATGGCCAGCCGATACGAGAAGAGCACGGCGGTGAGTAAACTTCTGCCCGAGTATATGCTACTATGACTATGTATATGTGCCTGTATCAGACCACGTGCTACTTTATCAAGGTATAAATTTTGGAGGTTGTTGCTAGTCTTCGAATTAGTTGGTGATTATTTGGCAATGCTCTTCTCACACCTGACTGCTGGTCTGTATGTTTGATTGTGGTATCTGTTCAGTGTCGTGAGCTTCCGGCTGTACTCCAGGCCATGATACATTGCTTTGATTGCAACCACATCTCAATAGGGCAAACCACAAGGGCAGCTTTCATGGTTGTCTCGGCTCTGGCTCATATTTGGATTGCACGCGCTTGTTTTCCAGTCAATTTAGTATTGGGGACAAGATCCATATGCTCGTATGGTCTACATACCAATTCTGATTTGTGTTTGTGGCACTGTGAGATATCTAGGATGTTTAAAGGTGTGAAATGTTTCATGGAATGTGTTGGTGCAATTCTGTGTACAAACTACAACTGTTATCGAATTCAAATACAATCTCTATCCATTGCATCTCCACAAACTTATGCTCTTACAGATCAAGACCATCGTGGTGTCGGAAGATCCCACCAAAACTAATAGAGATCTGGCGAAGAAGGAAGACGAGAAAAATAGTGTCAAGCGTAAATTGGATAATAAGAGGCGAAAGGTGTGTACGCCCTGGTATGAGGGCCAACCGAATTCCAGAACTATCTGCAGAAGTGTTTGTTTGACTTTGTAGTGGTTGTTGTATGTTCAACTAATGCACCCTCTCGCCCCAATTAGCAGCACGGTCCTTTGGCTGACAAGCTGATAGCATTGTATTTCGCCTTGCGTGCTTTTTTAGTGTCCGTTTTGCGAAGTATGGTGTGACCGTCGAAGGTCTACCTTCACCCATAAAAAAATCAGGTCCATTGCCATCCACATGATTATAACGCTCCTCTACGTACCACTGATTTCTTCGTGCTTGTTTATATCGAGATCTCGTGTCTTTGTGTATATGTGCATTCGCGTTAAAGCACGTGTGTGTCGTCAATCCTGCGGCTGTGCTTGCGTGGGGTTGAATGGGCTATAAACCCTGTCTATACCCTAATATCTCTAATTTTTTCGCCCACCTAATTATTTTTACATGTTATTGCCATTGTCGAAAATATAATACCGCTTTGCCCCTCAATAATTGCACACTGCAGGAATTGATGAAGCAGAGCAAACTCAACTCCAGATTCCTGGAGGATGGACAGGATGACGACTTCAGTAGTGGCAGCGAAGAGGTAAGAATGTCTAGCATCCTGAAGTTTCTAGTACTACTCAATGCCGTATTCATCGATGATTGGCTACTCATGTCGTATTCATCGGTGACTGTCCTTCTTTATGTCTTATTGACCGGTGACTGTCTTACTTCTGTCTTATCCGATTGCAACTTCCACGTGCGCCGCATTGCACACAAATAGTTCTGATCCGCATCAGTTTGCGTAAGGGCTTGACTGACACGTGATCAGCTGATGTTCGTGACAGGCATGCATGTAGACAGTACCCGTACATGCTATGTGCACACACATACGCAGATCCTATCGGCTGAAAGAGTCTTTACCTACTTCTTTTGATGTGTGCAAAACGTTCGCTCGCACGTAATTACAAGTCGGATATCGGAAATTACTATCTAAATGACGTGTATGCGATGAGCTGCAGATTTAAACTTGTACTGTACTGTACATGCTTTATTCATGCGAGCGTCGCGCACCACACACACATTCACGAGTGTGTTAAAAGTTTGCACGAGCCTTTCTGTATTAATGCGAATCCGCGCATACGTATCTGCCCATCGGTGAGCACTGATAGATTCAACTTGTGAATGTAGCGTAACCGATACTATCCGTGTGGCGATGCTGAGACACTGTCACACGCTTCGGCTATAAAGCGGCTGCATGCCGTAGAGCGACTGGCCTGGTAGTGATCCCATTATTTAGTGGAACTGATATTTTGTACTCGTCTTGGTATTGATGTACTGCAGGACTTTGAGCAGAATGTGCGGGCAATGAAATCCATAAGCGGTAAAAGAAGAGACGATTACAGGTACGTACTATATATTGGCGACCCTTCCAGGTCTGATGGCGTACCACCTTGTTGTGATCATTGGTTGTTATTTAGGTATTAAATGACTGTCACAGAGATCACTTACCCTGCAACACCAACGATTCGCTTACCCATACACGGCTATATACGGTATTGGAAATGCGTATGTGAGACGGGCAGATAATGAGTGGGTTATGTCGATTTTATTGCCACAGTTTACTTAGCTGTGGCGTTTACTACTGAAGACTCGCCGCCCCGCCGTCTGGAGGGCACGAATCATGCTCGTGTCGATGTATGTATATACGCATGTGTGTGTGTTCGAATATCTTATACTCTTGATTGTACACTTCATCCAGTATACGTATTATCCTGTCAAACCACTTATCTAGCAGGAGATGAGTAGTCATCGATGTTACGAGCCTTAACCTTACAACCTCCTTGGTGTACACTAATTTGTGCCACAGTTTTCACTCATGTTCGCTGTCAAAGAGAGCAGGTGCTAAGTACTAATACGCTTGAATATATGTTTACATCGTCGGAAACTCGACACCACAGCAGTGATGAAGAAGCAGAAGAAAGTCGTTCTGAGAGTGGAGGTGAAAGCGACAAGGAGCGGAGGTTGAAGAATGCTAAGCGTGCGGCTTCGGATGATGACAACAGTGACAGTGATGGTATGTGTTGCTGAGCTTGTAGCATTCATTGTAAAATGTGATTGCAGATGTGGCTTATAGTTGTTAGTGCGAGAATAACCGCCTTGTGACCATTATGAAATCGCGCGTCTACCGTATGCATCATGACGTACGCAGATATTTCGTCAGTATATAACGTCACACTGTGCATAAAACGTGACTAGAATAAGGCACAGAATGCCGGCGGTGAAGTGCTCGCCACGCAACCAGCATTGCTGTTGAGCAACTGTGTAGTGTTAGTGTGGAGGCTGCACCACGAGACGTAGCTTGTTTACGACTATCACGGGAAATCAGTGCAAACTACACATCGCTTCAGCCCATTCCAACTAATATCCAATTTCAGGCCTTAGGCTGACCGCGATTGTCTCAAGGTTTGTTTTAGTAGTACACCTCATGTGGCCTATATTTTAATCGCGTGCGTCGACGCGTCCATACAGATGGCAAGAACAAATCCAAGAAAAAGACTAGATACTCCGATGACGACGATAGTGGAAGCGACCTGTTTGGCGACGATTAATCTACAACCACACAGAGCCAGAGACCATACTGTCAAAACAACCGACAGCCGTCACTAAGACTCGTAGAAAGCGTGCAATAAAGCGACCTTCCGCATATTGCAATACAATGGACTGTAGTCGTCGATTTTTATAGATCAACAAATGCTCATTTGTTACCGGTATAGATGGAATCCCAACTACTGAAAGCAGTGGTCTATCAATTTAGACACATCATTGCCATGTTGTCGGATGAGACGAGCGTTGTGAGCTCGGTCAGTGAAGCCGAGCTCAATCAGTAGATCCATAGCTTGCAGATCCGAGTAGTTCAGGAAAGCATCCTATATTTAACGAGTCAAATCAGTTCGAATTTAGTCACTTTATTCCAACGATAATCGATATTCCTCCTGCAAACATAGAAGTAAGACTATTGACGCCCGGATAAACTGTTTGTATGCTATCGGCGTGTCTTACACCTTAAACCCGTATCCAACATATTCAATGAACAACCCGTAGTCGAGCCAAGCCAGGAACCCAGACATGCACACGGTAGAATTAAGTAACATCTGTGATCAGTCCCTCACTAAGCCTTGGATTGCACACACGTACAGATGCTTAACACGCTGAATGTCATGTCAAGCATACTGCATTCACAATACCTCGAAGCCATCCTCCACATCGCCCGCAGGGCTTGCTACACCCGCTATAGCATGGCCTGTCTCGTCGTACCATGCATCGTCAGCCCCACTTGACCAATCCTCTCCCACGGACGGGTAGAGTCTCCACCCAGAAACCGGCTTGGCGGTGGCTTCCGTGTCATGCAAATCACTTCCCTCACCTGTCTTCTCAAAAGGCTTGTTTCCCCTAGCCACTGCCGTTGGTGTGCTGTAAGCAGAGAAAACCTCATCGTGCTCAGAGTTATGTGTGACCACATCATCCACAGACGGGTAGATGCGAGAGCTTCGCACATCCAGCTCCCTGACTGCGGCCGTACTCTCTTTCACAATAGGCTCAGTGGACGTATCCGCCTCGAATACCCCTCCCTCCTCCCGAGCTTTCACGACATTCTCCTTGTTCCTATCAACAAACTGCTGCCACTGACTGTCCCAATCACGCCAACTGCGCGGTGCCTCCACCTGACTACCACCCGTCGGCGTGCTTGTCCGGGTGACTGTTAGCGTGCCAGTGCCTGTCTGTGTCGGTGTGAGAGGTTGTACCAGCGGCTGTAACAGCGACTGCGGATGAGTAGCCGACGGTAGTACAAGAGGGATAGCCGTGGGCAGTGCATCAGGGGTGGTCGTGGATAGTACAGGAGGGGGTGTCTTGGGCAAAGGTGGTCTCATTTGTGGGTCTTGAACCCCCGCAAATGGCTCAGAAACCGATTGTTCTTTTGGAATCGGTGTGGCAGTTATCTTGGCAGCTTTGGGTGGTTGGGAGGAAGATGTTGTTCGCCTACCCCGGAACCTGCGGTCTCGCCTTGTGCATCGAGAGGGCAGAGGGGTTTTTGTACGCGTACACTTCGCACTCACATCGCTCGCCTCGCCCGTGTCGGCAGTGCTGCCTGTATTCGCACTCCCCCTTTCGGAGGCTGCTGCTACTTCGGCTGCGACGGCACACAAGGTCTCATTTCCTAGTACAGGTACAGGGGTGACAGGTACCGCACTTGCAAAAGCCTGTGCGTCTGTGTCTGTGCTTGTATTGCTAAGCGGACCAGCTCCGGCGGGAGCCCATTTATCCCAGCCAAACCATCCACGGCCAATGCCCACACCACGCCCACGCGCAGCCATAGGGCCCATACCCATACCCATACCCATACACATACCCATACCCATACCCATACCTCTACCACCCCTACCTCTACCTCCACGCGCTACCGACCCACACATCCCTCTACCCCCGCGCCTACCACAGGAACGTCGGCGCGTACTCAGCTGCTCAGCGGATTTGATCTCTGATCGCGTCTCGTGAGTCAAAGGACGGCGTATCAGGTACAGCACGTGGTCGGGAGAGTGGCCGGTCGTGGCCATGCAGGTGGCGCACAGGTCAAAGTCAGCACACACAAAGCACTTGAAACGCACACCCAGGATATAGGTGTCACACACGTCGCACTTGACACCTGGGTGGGCACACAGGTCCTCTGCCACATTGCTGCCACTCGCATTCAGTGTGAAACTGCTGACATTGCGCTCGCCTTCGATTGCACTACCTGACAATACATTGCTCTGAGTTGTTTCAACTGCAGCAGACCGGTTCGTATTGCCAGCAACCCCGGCTGCCACATCGCCCCGTGTCGGATTTGCCGGATTATCTGAGCTTTGTGAAGGGGTCTCAAGTTTCTTCACCAACCCTGGATTCAACACACCTCGCATCAGCCGCTGCATACTGCAAGCAAGGTCTTCGGTATCCACCTGCTGCACCAGCTTGCCTACACTCTGCTGTACACTCCTACCAATATCATCCACAATTTCATCCACGTGAGCCATGGTCACACTCTTGACCATGTTGGTCAACAAAGCATTGACTTGCACTCGTTCCTCATCAATTGGCACGTCTTCGCCAATGTCGCTGCCCTTGTTACACAATGCCGGACTTGCCTCAGAGTGTTTCTCCGTTGCCGATATGGGATTCCGTTCAGGTGACGCGATAGTAGATCCTTCTTTCTCAGTCACGCCCACTGCATGTTGAGCAGTTTCAAACTGTGCATCGAAACAAAGGGTTTCTGTTTTCGATGCAGACACCACGTCTGAGCTGTTTGTGTTCATATTCTTTAGACTCGAATTCCTAATCGGTTGCCCTGCAGCTAAGCCACCACCCTCCATGTCTCCTTTCGCACACAATCCCACATCTGAATCACGAACACACTTTACGACAGGCTGTGCCATCTTCGGAGTATGAGATATCTCATCCACATACACAAACACCCGCAATTTATCATGCAGCTTAGCAAGACTATCACGAGCCTCACAAAAGTCAGCTTCACACACGATGGTCACGTAATCCCCTTCATCGTCGGCATACTTCGCTCTGAAACTAGGAAGATTATACAGCCGAGAGATCTGAGTTCTTAAATGACCCCAGGAATGAGCATTAAACCGCTTGATATTGCCGTATAAATCGGATTGTACTTTGATTGACATCATTGAAGAATAGTTCATGAATCTACGTGTACAAACATACGGTACATCTGAGGATGAAATTATGAGAACCAACGATATACATGTACATATATATATATATATAAATACAGACTCCTCTAATTTATATTCGGATATGCCTGTGTACGCAATCAATTTACTCCAAATGACTCATCGATGTTGCTTGATGGATAAGTGGAAATAAAAATACTTTGGAAAATGAAAATGTATGTATGTACATACGTCGATATACATTAAAAATGTATATGTATGCTTTTTTCTGGCTTGGCTATTTTATTATATTGTAGTGTTGGGAAGTGATTATTACGGCCAGCGTACGTAGCGATTTAAAGAGCAGTTGAACCTGTGACTAGCGACTTACAGTTGTATTAAATGGGCTCGAACACCGCGTGTGGACTTAATTTCATATATTCACCTTAATGTTCGAATGGTATGATGTACACACCGCCGATGTGAGGAACTCTTTTTATCGCCAATACTGAGCAGCGAACAAGCAACTACTTCAATTCGGAACCAAATCCCGTTCGTTCCTTGCTTTTGTGATCCAACTGTGAGTCTCTTACGCAATCGGAGCGTCTTGTGTCTTACCTTCGAACGACTCCCTTGCTTTGCTTCGAATTCTATACACAATTGGTGTCTCGCCGGACATCCGGCTTCTCCCCACGATGTCGGCGCTTGTATACCTCTGCATCTCACATTTTATGTTTTCTAAAACGTACTCATCTCACAAGAATCAGTTGGCAGTCGGTTACGCGTCGTCTTCAATCTCCACTCGTACGAACTATTTCCAAACTCCTCGACAGTTTTACCCGTTATTCTTGTCGGGATATTTAAAATACAGAGTATACACATATATATTTATTTGTGTGTGTGTGTGTGTGTGTGTGTGTGTGTGTGTGTGTGTGTGTGTCTTGTGTGTGT